TTACTTGTGCTGATATTCAATCTAAAACCTGCCGAAGACTTGTGATCCTTATACAGTAAGTATTTCAAACCAACTAATTGTGTGCAGTTCGCCGTGATTCTGCACTATCTCTGACCTTGACTGATGTATGTTTGAACTTCAGCTCACAGCACTAAATCAATGCTCATTGAATCAGAGCACAAAACCACTCTTAGTGCCCTACCATTGTGCATATTATAGTAGGGCATTAAACACACACACACACAACAAGCTAAACGGTTAGCAAACAAACACTGTCATTCTCACAATCAACAGAAACAGTGCTAGCTTGCACAATATAAGTCATACAAATATGTACCCATGAGGAGGAAACAAACCACACACACACTGATGAGGAGAGGCACACATGCGCCCGGACTGTGTGAAGTACTGGCTCGTTGTGGCGAGTCACAGTCTGTGTTGCCACCTACAGAGCACCTCTGTAAATGAATGCCTACATCACAGCTGAGACTTAACAAGAATATGAGCAGACAGCTTGTTAGCATGATTCACATTAAACTCAAGCTCTAATTCTGGAAGCAAATGTGTAAAAATGGTAAGAGTCAGTAGGCTTGATGTTGATGTACTCTGTCCTCCCATATTGCAATGCAAAAATTGAAAAAATAATCAAAGTTGTTAATAGTGGTAAGGAAAGCTGAGAATGCAATTCAACCTGACAAGTCTCAAGAACAATATAGCTGTCTGTTTACTTAGCTCAAATTTGATAGTGATATTTCAAAATAGGAGTTTGATTAAATTCATTCAGCATTTTCTGTTATTTATTTTGCGTCTCAAGTCCCATGTCAAGACTGGCAGTCTTAAATGAAGTCCCAAGTCCTTTGAGTTTTAAATGCCAAGTCATATTGTGCTCCAATTTTGACCTACTAATTTTGCCTACTACAATTTATTTTGCTGACTGCTGAACACATTTTTACAGGAAAAAAAATTGTCTTGGGCATATGTTTTTTTTTTAACATATTGTTGTGGTATTCTCCTTCAACTTGATTAAATGCTGTTGGTCCAAACAAGGTGATCTGTGGAATAATTGTGGACTAAATTGGAAATGAATGGCATTAAAATGGGCTCATACAGAAAATAAAAGGAAATGTAATAACTCTGGTCGACACCTTGGGTTTCTTACTACAAGTTAAATAAAATATGAATGTATTCAGTTGTGGACCTTACATGTCAAATTGTAGAGTATGTTTGGTGCAATCAGTGTAACACAGAGCTGAGATTAAAACAGTAAGAGGTTGAAGGGGAGATTGTTAAAAGAGAAACCAACCTAGGGCAGTCTGCTGAAAAATCCCTCTGACCTTGTTTCACACACTCATTCACAGATGTTAAAGCCAACAGCAATTAGGATGAGCTCAGGGTTCCTCCTGTTCGTGGTGAACCTGTGCCAACTGCTGCTGCCCCGCCCACATCCGGGTAGCAGCAGGTTCGCAGCTGATTGGCTGCCAGGCTAAGTCTCACCAGTAACATTTAACCTGATAGGCTCTTACACTCAGCCAGTGAAACCAGTGCAGCTGTGTGTGGACGCTGTGATGAATACTCTCAACTGATTGGCTCTTAGCTTGGAAGGTGTGTGCGCGCGTGTGCGTTTCATCTGTGGGCGTGCATGTACATAGGTGTGCTTTACAGAGGCATGTGGGTGCCTTATAAATCCTGTCATGAAATATGTGTCGCAATTAATCATTAGGCTTATTATACCAATTCTGCACGTGTAGTCTGGTTTCCATGACAACACCCCCTTTTTTTCTGCAGACAACTTCCACGTGACACATCACACTGCGAGCTGGAGTCAGAGATGTCAGATGTTATCATCAAAGCCCTCTCGCTGTGATTTAAATGTGCTGATCTGAGAGCAGATCTTAAAGGTGCACATTGTGTCGGCCAACAGGTGACCTGCCAGTCAATAAAGAAGCGTGCTCCTGTGATTCACCTGTGTGATGCGGTGACATGCAACATCACAGGCCTCTGAATGAAACTGCGCCAATGAAACGCACAATATGCCGGTTAATAGGCTGTGTATTGTGTCGCTATAGGCTATATCCCATAATAATGCGCAGTGAATCACAGCAGCCTGCGCCTTATCGTGCAGCAAAGAGCAACGCATGCTTACCTCATCCTCCCCTCCTGTCCGCTTCAATGAGATGGATAATGTGTGATCAGTGTCCTTGAGTCGTAGTAAAAAGGGTCCAGCAGCAGCACCTCTGGGTGTTTGGATACAAACAGCGGCGGTGCCGGAGGAGCCTGCAGCTGGCGGGGTGTGCAGATGTTGAGGTCTGGAAAAGGCGACAGGGTGTGGAGAATGCTACACGGATGCCCACAGTTTTTAGGTATGTCTTTTAAAAAACGTCAGTTATAAAAAAATGTTCTCCTGTGTCTCGTTCGTCAGGCGGCTGGTGGTTCGGTGGAGGCCATCTCAGAGGGGAGCACGCCGTCCGCAGGTCGAGAAGCCGGGCGGAGTGGCTGACAGCGGCTTCTGAGGTGCCATCTTTTCCTCCCTGCAACCACTGGGAGGCTGGATGGAGAGAGGAGGGGAGAGGAGAGGAGAGGGGAGGCGAGGGGGGAGGGAGAGGGAGCAGGCTGCTGTAATATTAAGTGGAGATGGTTTTGCTGCACGGTAGCGCCCTCGGTCTGGTCATGCAGCTACTGTGCAGGCAGCATTATATGAAAAACAAACGCACACCGGCTTCTTCAAGAAAATAAAAAATGTAAATAACTTTTTTGTGTCAAAAAAATTAGAATACTCATGCTGTTCTGAAACAATTGTTTTCCTAATGCTAAACCCCATCAATTATTGATATGTTCTATAATGCAAGTTAAAATGACAGTATACATTATTGTGTGTCAACTAAAACTGTTTATGATTCTTTTGCATTAATTAATTAATTTTAATGTATTTTTTCTTTCTTTCTTTATACTGTACAGCTAACAGCAGAATTGTCCAGCATCATTATTATCAACAATGTTGTTTGTAGCATATTACTGCTTTAATAATTAATATTCCATATTTTTATTTTCCATTTTCATTTTATAATTAAATATTTTTGTAGTATACTGTAAATATTTTATTTATATTGTGATTACATTTTTCTTAATTTCTTTATAATTTAACAACTTTATATTATGGGTTTACTGTAACATATCCCAATTTCTCCTAGAGAATCAATAAATGATTTCTTATTTTTTAAAACAATTACCAACTTCACAGGAGCATTTGTGACAGGTTTGGATTTAAAATTCTTTAAGCTTTCAAGACCCGTAACAGTTTTACATTATTGTGTGATATTTCATCACTCCCTGTTCCTGTGTGATATTCCCATTCTAACCCTCTTAGTGATGACTAAGTATATGCTGTAGCTGTACAGAATCATACAGTAATTCAGTCTGTTTAGTAAAAAGCTGACGCAAGATAAAGCATGTGCAAACAGGAGATTTTATATAATAAAATACAATAGAATATTTATTTTTTTCTTTAGTTTTAAATCTTAAATACAGCTGCTATGTATCCCATCGCCCTGTTGTATGACACATATTACAACAATCAAACCTGTGGCAGTTTTCCTTCTTACCAGGAGAGGTCCTCCTAACTTCCATGAACACAAGAACTACCTTTGTGGTTCATACAGTGGTGTGGATCAACTTTTAGGTCATACTGGCCTAACATCAGCTTATTGATCGTGAAAAAGTTCAGCCCGTGTTGTAAAGAAAGTGTTATAAAATCAGGGTCTCCATTTTATTTGTGACACTTTAATACCCACATGATTTTCTATTTCTCTTTTTGGGTCTGTGGCCTTTATCTCCACAGGAGGGTCACACGGATAGATATAACTCTTATTATACTTCCAAACAAGGCTGACACATTTTCTCTACTGTCAGAATTTAAATATCTAATCAGTCCAACTGGAAAATGTGCATTAGACAACCTGATTTCATCACAAAAGAGATGCTGAGAAAACGTAAGATACAAGAGTCATTGTGATGCGTTTTTAAAGGGATGGATAACCCCAAATCAACACACATTTTCTGTTAGTGCTATTTCTGAATTCAAATTGCTTTGGTGTGAGTTGCAGGGTATTTGGAGGTACTGGCCATAGAGATGTCTACCTTCTATTTAATATAATGAAACTTTGACAAAAAAAAATACATTTCCAGAAACCTTGACCTGGCTATATTATTGCAAAGACTACACAGAAAAGAAAGTAGTCTCTACATGAAACTGCTCATAGGAAATTATTGTTGAGCTTTTCGCTGCTTTTAGCACCACAAGCGCCATCTAGTTATATGTTAGAGAGGAGTACACTCAACAACTCACACTTAAACCATCTAGATTCATATGTATTGCCCTACAGATGCAAATAAAAATATGTATCTTTTATTTTTGGATGAATTGTCGCTTTAACATATTCCTGACTCAAGTTTTGTGGTATAGTGAATCCAAAGTCGAATGGAGTTTTTTCACAGTGGTAGTGGACATGTTGCACCAGGCTCTAGCATTTTCCACAAGCCGTCATTTAGCTGTTTATCCAACTGAAATAGGTCATGGCACATGATTTTCAGCCATTTCCTCCCCATCAAATGTTCAGTGGCCATTCATTCCCTGCAGTCACTTGGTCAAAAACCCTTTTCCCGTCATCAGTAAATTCCCCAATACTCGATTAAGGCGACTGCACGTCTTGTTCTCCAAGGCACTGATTAGACTTTGGACAAAGATAGGAACCATTACATGAAAGTGCAGCACATAGTGTATCTCTGCTGGAACATAAAGTACTCAGGTCAATTAGGCACCAGCCACTCACAACACTAACCCTGCCTACACACACACACACACACACACACACACACACACACACACACACACACACACACACACACACACACACACACACACACACACACACACACACACACACACACACACACACACACACACACACACGCTTAGTGGCATAAGAAAAGGAAAAGGCCTCCCATTAGTGATAATTTTTTTAATTGTTTGTCCTGAACTACAATGAGACATTTTGACTGATTCTGGTACACTCTATTTATTGCTTAAAGTGGAACATTGACTACAAAACAACAACAAACATTACAGCACACAGGAATGAGAAAAACTCAGTGACACACACTCATTGACATCAAACACAACGCGCTCAAAGACGACTACAGACACACATCGTCGCAGTAACATTAACAGTACAAGCGTTCGGTAAAACATGCGCAGGTATGTGTGAAAAGGATGAATGACTACTATGGTCTCGGAGGAGGCTAAAAAAAGCACTAGAGCTGTCATGCTTTACTATCTTTGAAATATATAATCCTGCAATCAAACACTGCATTAACAAACGTGTTAGTGGAAATGTTCTGGAAAGCTGTAAGAACTGATGTTGCAGTACGTTAAAGCAGCACAGTCAGATTCACTACAGAGGAAAATCCAGTCAGAAGTGAACTCATTTCAAAATTGTATTTCTTGTTCTTTCAACATTGGAAGAAAGTCTTTATCGCCGTTTATGTTCAAGTGGTTAAATGAGGCTTTTAATAACACCCGTTTCGAACGTTATCAGGCCATTAAATGGTTGTTAGCAGTCGTTTTTACAATCACTAATGCTTCAGAGGGAGCAATGTTATGAAATGGTTATGAAATGAAACTCACAAATTGTGTTAGGTCAATTACGAATGTCACCTCACATTTCTAGCATAGACTAGCCTACGTCTTTTAAAATAACTCATCATGACTTATGGTTTCACAGGGATCACAGACACCGGCCTCATGGGGCAAAAGACCACTCTTAGCACACTTCATCATTCCTTATGTCACCAGACTTCTGCCTTTGCTAGCGGCATAATTATAACGGCCACTAAAGGTCACACATTTCTTGTATTAGCATGGGTTAGCATGTACATAGACATTGTTCTGAACCTACCAGTATGTGTAGCAGGCACCTTCAAACCTAACACTGTTAACAGCCATTTAATGCCCCAATATATTTAGAAACGGGTGTTTAATCATTTGTTTTGGTTCAGTAAACATGAAAGCAGGGATACATTCTGGCAACTCTTTCTCTGCCCTCCCGCCTCAGTAACAAATCTGGAAATACTGGCTGGGCGATTTGACGGGGCTCTTGTAGCTGGAAAAGTCGTGCTGTGCTGTGCTCTGGCTGGTTGTGGTTTTCTGCAGGTTTAAGATGAAGGACGGGCTCGTCTTCTTCGCCACGGGCTTGCCGCCGCCCTTCGCCTGAGGGTTGTTGGGTGCAGCCGAGCCGCAGTTGGCAGGCACCGTGGAGGTAGATTTGGCGAACTCAGAAGATCCAGTCCTTCTTGTTAGGGGGCTCAGATAGATCTGCATAGTCACTAAGTGAAGTGGTGAAATGAGGTGAGGAAGGTGTGAGTGTGAAGACAAGGGGGGAGGTCGGTCAGTGGGGAAGGGTTCAAACAAAGGTCAGAGGTCAGGTAGTGCGGATATTTAAAGAAGAGATAAGGTTAAAACGAAAAAGACAGAAATAAGGGTGCAAGGGGTTAGGGGAAGGCACATAAGTCATGGTGAGATGTGACAAAAAATGAAGAATAAAATAACAGTTCCACTTTTCCAGATAGTGTGAATAAATATATTTTTAGGGGTGAATCATACCTTTGCAGTGTGTCACACGGCTTGTCCCTGCACAGAAACAGCACACACACAGATTCACTTACATGCAGCATTGCCATGTCAGCATTTTGCTTAATCACTTATGTTATCTCCTTTATTTAATAGAGGCTTAGAGAGCAGCGGATTCACTTTCTTGTAATGAGGCTGCCATACAAATAACAACAGTGCTCACTCACCTCCACTCACTGCTGCCGGCTCCTTGGACTTGCTGCTGTAATAATGAGAGAAAGAGGGAAAAGAGTCAAAAATACAGCAACACCTAAAGAGGGTTTGTAAATCTGACAAATGTGAGTGATCAGTGTCAGGATGACTAGCAGTTAAATGTCTTCTCTACTGACTTTGAGAATGTCTGTGGTTTGGGTTGTTTTCACATAATACAGGATGTCATGGGTGTGAATAACCTCAATTTGATTCTGACTTAATCTGTCACAAATAATTAGGTGACCCCAAAATCACTGAAAGTGTAAATAATTCATGCCGTGGTTTGCAAGAGTTGTAGGTGAATTCGTTTCAGTCAGTAACATGGATACATTTACAAAAACATTGTGAAACTGAACTTTTATTTGGCTATATAATCACTTACAAGACAAAAGAAAAGGCTATTGTGAATAACCAATTTCTTACCCTTCCTGAGGCTTCTTACTTGTGGAGGCTGTGGAGGCTGTGGAGGCTGTAGAGGTGGGGCGTTTGGTGGTCTTACCTGGACTGTCCTTCACACTACTCGCTGGGCTCCACACACCACTGGAAGGAAAATAAAAAAAGGAGGCTTTCATTTAAAAATGAGGTTTGAGAGTGCACTGCACTGTTGTGGTTTTTGGTGGCGCTTTTGTGTGCAGTTGCCATTTTTTGCAACAATACTCTTTAAGTACATTATTTCTTCAAACCTCAAAGAGATGGTTAAAGCAAAAACATATTTGACTTCTATAAAGTCACTGGCATTTTTTCATAAAGTTTTAACATTGAAATAAAGTAGTTTTAGTTGCAGGCTTAGAAATCACTTGATAACCCCTTGTGTAAAATGATTATCAAGACTTTAGTAAAGATAGTTTTACACACAGTACATTGTTTTTGTTCACACATTCGAGTGAAACATCACTGTAAAGTCCATTTTATATTTCTACAGGTGCAACATGTCAGATGAAATGACAAAATGTTTCACGCATCAATTCAAAATAAAATATTTCTTAAAACCCTTTATTTGAATTTAAAATAAAATGCTGTGGTTTTGAATAATGCTTAGCTGCAGACATGAGTCAGTGTGTTGCTGGATATATTTGACTTTAAAGAGGAAATATTATGCTACTTTTCAGGTTCATATTTGTATTTAGTCCCTCTATTGTGACATGTGTACATGCTTTAATGTTCAAAAGTACAGCAGTCAAAAATACTCTTTATTTTCTCATACTGCCTGTGCTGCAGCACCTCTTTTCACCCTCTGTCTGAAACCAGAGCCCAGTCTGCTCTGATTGGTTAACTGGCCGGCTCTGTTGAGATTGCACAATCTCTTAGAGATGTCCCACACCTTAGCCTATCACATACAATTTGCTGGAGCGCTAGCCAATAAAGGGGCTGGTGTTACGTAGTGATGTCATCATGTTGCGGAACTAAACAAACAGATTCCAATGGATGTGTTTCTCCATGCATAAAAAGCTATATAACACACCAAAGGAAAGTGAAAAACATAAAAGGGCCCTTCTGCCATACGAAACAAGATTTATAAAGAGAGAAAGAAGCAGCCATCAATATGAGAGAGAGAAATACATCAGAAGGGGAGATGAAATGAACTAGGGGCGAGAAAAGGCAATGATGCTGCATCTCGCTTCATTCTAATACCAAACCTGCAGCCTTAAGTGCATGGAGATGTACTTCTCTCCGTGCACTTATATCAGCACACTCCAGATTTAGCAGCAGCACATTAGGGTTCCACGGAGAGAACCTATCACGCTCTCTGACTAACGCTATCTAATGGCAGTATCATTTGAAAGGTAATAGAGAGGAACAGCAGAGGCCGGTCTGCCGCTTTATCGCCTTGAAATAAAGGTGAGTGTTTGGAATAATTATCGAGCTTCCATGTGCTGCGTTTTCTTGGATAATGGAGGGTGTGCAGATTGCTTTTGAACATTAGATAATGAGGAGTGAAGCTTGAGTTATGAGACGAAAGCTTCATTGTTAGCCGCTTCATTAAAACTGTATTATGTTAATATAATGTGTGTATAGGCCTAGAGTACTCTGTCTCCTGGTGAGTGCTGTCAGTGATGAGAAGATTCTTTACCAGAAAGTCATTCAACAGTTTTACCTTGTTTGTTGTACTGCACAATTGCTGATAAACAGTATGTTTCATTTGATTTATCTCAGGTAATAAATACAATACTGAAATATTAACCTGTTACAGTATATTACATGTGTGAGTGGTGGAATGTATTGGACTTAAGCACAATTCTGAGGTACTTATACTTTAATTAAGTACTTTTTATTCAATGCTACTTAATATGTCTACTCTACTACATGTTGGAAGCTTTTATTGTACTTGTTACTCCACTACATTTATTTGAAAGCTTTAGTTACTTTACAGATAAAGATTATCAGTCAATACAAAGAAAAGAAAAGAAAAGAAACATAAATATCCAGCAGTAACACAGATAAAATGTATTACCTTTACTATCTGTGATATAGACACATTAATGCATCAATAATTACAATCTAAGCATTTAATGACATTATTTTTGAATTGGGAAATGATGCTTAACAAGTACTTTTACTTTTGGCTATTTAGTATATTTTAATGCTAATGTTTTTGTACTCAAGCAAGATTTGAAATGCAAGACTTCTACTTGTAACAGAAAAAAACAAAAGTGTAAAATCTGAGCACATCCTCTGCATGTTCTTGTTGTGGTTGTGTCCTGTCTGCAGACGGAGCAGCCGTTACCTGCGGGGGGGTGTGGGGCTGTAGTTCCTGGCTGTGGAGCTGGAGGGCAGCGTGGTGCTCTTCTTCAGGGAGGCAGTGCTGGAGGGCACCAGAGAGGGCCTGGACGGCAGAGCCAGAGACACTGGCCGGGCTGCACACACACACACACACACACACACACGCACACGCGCACACACACACACACACACACACACGCACGCACGCACACACACACACTTGTAATGTTATCAACAAGCCCGTAGCAGACAAATGCACCTTTCAAGGTTTGTTTTTTTACCAAGATTAGTCTTTTCCATCTTTTCCTACTGGAATTGACTATTATTCACTACAGCACTTAGTTACTGTTGCTATGCCTTCTAAGCCTTGTATTCTTGCAAAACTCAGGTTGTTTGTAATTTTGAAAGATTTGTCAACATGTGCGGTTCTAGAGGGGGGCCAACAGGAGCCAATGCCCCTGTAACGCTGAGTTTTAACACCCCTCTGGCCCCCCTCAGAAAGAAGAATCTATGGTGATACCATTTGTGATTGTGTGGCAGCAAAAACTTTGCTTAATAACACAAAAAAACAACCTTTTTTCAGCATTATAAAAGTATTTTTCTCAATGCAAATGGCTTTAATCCCCACCCAGATCTCGTCTCACCTTTAGCACCTGATGTTCTCCTGCCACCAGCAGCAGCTGCTTGGTGCTCCTCAGAGATGTTGAGCCTCTTGAGAACATCTGCCAGGGCCATCTTCAACAGCTGGATTTCATCTTCCTGCATCTGCATCCTCTGCTCCAGATAGGTGAGCCGATCCACCACATCCAGGCCACTGGCTGAGCTGCGGTCATCTGAAGGATAAATACATAGCCAGGATTATCTTGTTGGTTTGTTATGCTTTTCCACGGCGTTACGTAACTGAGGACATGATTAACATCCATTAAAAAAAACAGCAGAAGAATCCGAAGCATCCATTTAACATTTGCAGCCTCTTAACCATGTCTAGAAATGTTTAAAGGCACATTTTTCATAGAGCAAAGGAAAGAGCAAACCGGCAAAAAAAAAAAAAAAGAAGAAACAGTCAGTGAAACGTTGTCAACTAACACACAGAGAGTTCGATGCCAAGGAAGAAATGAATATGCAATTGATTCATACTGAAACCATGCCACTATTTGGTGACAGAAAATCTTGAGTATGAAAGAAAATAACGTGTATAGTTGCAACAGTCTAATAAGAGAAGGACTGGTAAAGAAAAGTACTTCCCCATTCAAAAACCTTAGCCAAAGCATGACTTATTGATTAAATTCTACTATAAAGGCTTTTTCAAGGATCAACTCCTTTGGCAACAAGATGTAAACATAATCAGAGAAAGGAATAAGCTCTTTAACGTCCCCTGTTCGTGCTTATGTAGCAAAAACCAAGCTAATGAGGTCACAGCACAGCTGGACAGCAGATCATAACACTGTCATCTCACAGCAGCATGTCAACAAAGGTAGCGCACATTTAAAAACACTGTCACCAACACACTATCATTTCCCTTTCAATCAGTTTTGGTATTTATACTTTTACTGTAGTTAATCATCAGTCCAACACAGTAACAATAGATCAGAGGTGAATACCGTGGGAGACACTGGACAGCGATGAGGAGGCAGGGGGCCTCTGGGGGGCAGCTGGGCCCTCTGCCATTACACCGGACGTCTTCCTCCTCTTCCTCTCCTCCCGTGAGCACAATCTCTCGCTCCTCTTTCCTTCTCTGGCTTTAGTCTGATAGCTTGGTTCTCCCTCCATCTGATTCTGATCCACTGGCTGGTGTCCACTAAGATCTCATCTCCTTTGCTCCACTTATGTCACACACACTGTAACACTCACACACACACTGTAGCACAGCAGCCTCCTCTTACAGCATCCAGGCAGTATTACATTGGTGGTCGCTTGATACCCTCTGGGACACACTGATGTGTATGACAGCGCTTTAAAGCCCTTTTGCTCAGGGTGTGTATTTATATAAAAGGTGGGGGTGGGGTTGATAATGCTTAAACTCAGCAGTCGTCCAATTCAACCTAAATTGTCTGTGCAAATGCGTGTGTGTGTGTGTGTGTGTGTGTGTGTGTGTGTGTGTGTGTGTGTGTGTGTGTGTGTGTGTGTGTGTGTGTGTGTGTGTGTGTGTGTGTGTGTGTGTGTGTGTGGGTGTGCAGACTACAATGATAATCCTTCAGACTGAGCCTCTTTGACCCCGCCCCCACAGATAAACCCCATGTCGCTATGAGGGATGGAGACACAGAGAGGAAACAACAGAGATAAACCTGAAATGGGGCCTGGGCTGGCGTTGCGCTTCAGTGAACATTTTCGTTCATCCTCGGAGTTACAGAGGTCACAGGGCAGGTCACTCTGAGTAATAAGGAGGATGAAGAGGAGGCGAAATGTAAAAAACAATGCTTTAGTGTGTTCAAGGATGAACACCAGGGCTCAAAACAAACACAGGAATAAGGATCAGTTACACAATCTGTGGCTATGTGTGTATTTCTTTTAAAAACAAAAATAAACCAATGATTTCCAACCAGTGTAGAAGAGCAGATGCTTCTGCAGTGACACGTACATACAGTACAAATACTGTTGAATATATTTCAGATTTTTATAGAGCAGTGATTATGTTTTGATTAAAAAAGGATACATTGTCAGCATACTGTATAACACCCGAACACCATGTGTTATGAGAATGCTTAAAAACTAGCTGACAAGCAATTCAAACAGTTAGCAACAGTTTGCTACAGTTAGCTACAGTTAGCTACAGTTTGCTACAGTTAGCAAGTTAAAGAACTGTATGTATTATAGAAATAAATGGATACATAGTAGAAGTATAGTTTGCTAAAAGTAACAACTAGAGGGGTAAAATAGTTCATTAAAAGTCATTTACAATTGTTTTGGAACAGATAGCCAAAAGCAGTAGAAAAGGAGTTTCAAAAAGAGTTAGATACCCGAATGGGTAAGGGGAAGAAATTGTTAAGTAATACATCAATGACAGACATAGTTTGCTTAAAATAATAGGTAATTGCTAGAAATACTTGGCTCAATGAACTGGATAAATACCAGGAAAAGTTAGATTTATCTACTCGCTGAGTGGAAGAAATATTTGCAAAAAAATAGCTATAGCTAAAATTAATGGATAATCTAAAATAGCTTTTAGCTATTAGGCAGTAGCCTTATAGTTTGCTAAAAGCAATAGATAATTGGTAAAGAAAATAGAAATGGTTGGATGGCTGATTTTAACATACAGTTTGGTTAAAATAAATATAAGTACAGGGATGTGGAAGTATATCTGATCAAAAAGGTGGATAACCTTTGAAATGTTTTCATGAGAAAGTTTAGTTTAGTGTTGATGAAGCCTCAAAACCTGATGTATAGTTTTTGTAAGATACGAGCATATCATACCATTTTTTTATCTATGTTCTTGGTGAGATAGCCTGCATGAGTTTTCGCTCTTGAAACAGATAATCTGCTGTGGGTGCAGACTTTCATTAACTGTGTATTTATTGGAGCATGAAGCCCGCAGTAATCTGTTTCTCATGCAGCATTGTGACTTTGTGTGTAGGCCTGCACGGTGGTTTCGTGTTTCTCTTCTTCTCCTGGCTGTGATCATATCCTCGTGCCACCTCCACGCACCCCATATGGGATTGGGATTAGAATAGCACATAATCCCAGCGCTGTAAAAGGGAATTAGCAGCCCAAAGCTCAATCTCTGCACCAACTCAGCTATACAAAAAAAGAAACAGAAAGGCTCCCTGAAAGACGCTTTTCATGCAATGTAAACACACAAACAAACAGGAAGTATGTCTCTGTGCCTCTGACTCACTCACACGCACATGCACACACAGCGCTAACAGTTTCAAAATGTACACGCCTATTATGAATCTTAGCAAAATGAAAATACATGAAGGCATAACTCCGGCGTAGTGAAGCAGCAGAGTGTTTTAATCTGAGCTCGCAGATGGTGTTTCTTGAATGAAGAACCAGCATCTGTCTGCTCATATCAGCACCTTGCATGCTGACACATACAGGCCACAAGCAATCCTTCATAATAGTCCACAGACACTAATATCCCTCAGGGGAAGAGGCATTTCCCTATTTGTTTCCATCGCTGTACGCACATTCCAACACCTACAGTCTGACTGTTTGGCATGTGATGCATTGGACAGGTATGCAGGACAAGTGTGTATCTTTACAGTTAACTGAAAATCTATAGTAACAATGTCAAAGAAGATAGATTTTGAGGATCTATACAGAGTATGGAGTCTAATCTATTTTACTGCCCTGATAAAACAAATCTGTACCAATATAAATGATCTTCTACTTCTGCCTTAAAGTGCCTCAAACATGTTTTCTTCTGTCACCGGTTTTTCAGGGTTTTCATACTGCCATATAAAAAAAGAATGTTAGACCTTGCCAGAAGGCAACATGTTGATCATAAAATCTCGAAATATCTTATACAAGATACTATTTTTATTCTGTCAAGGGTTTAAAAGTCCTGCGAAGTTGTATTGTATTGTATTGTGTTTTTCTAGTTTGTCCTGTCAGCCTTTTTAAAGTCATTAATGAGTGTGTGTCAGTCCATGACAAATGCACAATGTCTGCATTCTTTCCAGGAATGTTGTGTTACTTACTTCTCACTTTCATATTACTTCACACATTATTTTCATGTTATCAAGTATCAAATTGGAAAAGCTAATTTATTCAAAGTCAAACATGTATGCATACCCATGTTGTGGTAAACACAGGGAGTGTAAACATGTCTTCTTGTTGATTATATGCATTCATACGTAATATTAAAAAGGTCAATAATGTTTAGTCATTGCTCTTTGTATTATCCATCAGTAAGTTTTGGTTTTATAAGATAAACATCTCTATGAATTGTCCATTTAAAAAAAAAAAATGCAGTTGTTTGACCACCAAAAAGATGCATTTACCTCTATTGCATTGGCGTTTAAACAAGCTCCACTCTGTACCTGTCATGAAGTCGGTGTCCGGTGCCAGCAGGGAGTCGCTGTGGTAGCTCTCCTTCAGCGAGGGTCTCCTCTGCGGGCTGTGGACCGTCTCCTCCATCCCCAGGCCGTGGTCCACCAGCTCCTCCATGTGTGAGTCCCCCTCCTCTACGCCCTCTGCCATGTTGATGAGTGCTCCTGCAGCGCTCCTACTAAAGCCTATACGCTTCACTGACGGGCTAATTCACCTACCCCTAAATCCACCAGTGGCCACAACCTCTTGCTTTCCCTCCCTCCCTCTCCCCCCACTGTCCTGTAAGGAGGGTGTGCAGGGTGATGTCACTCAGAGGACAGATTAGGGACCTGGTAAGCCATCTGAAGCTCTGGGGAGAACAACACTATGAGCCCGGTGAATGTGTGTGTGGTAGAGACGCCTCACTATGGGAAACATCTTCTAAATATAAGTGAAAAGGGTATAAAAAAAAAATTCAGTTCAGTTCAATACAACTTTTTTTTGTGTTACATTTTTCCTGAAATGCTTTTTTTTTTAATATTCAAATGAGTCAATTGCAGGTCTCCCTTGAAAAAGAGATCTATGATCTCAATGGGACCAATCTGGTTAAATAAAGGTTTGAAATGAAAATGAAATTAGTCACATCTTGCTAAATATGATCTAATTTGCATATTTTCTGGAAATCTTAAGGAAAATATATGTATTGTACAATCCCATACACTTTTTGTTTTACAATACAGGTGAATAGGGTGACAAATGTAACTAATGATACCACCATAAAATCCCCAGAAGATTACTAACGTATATTTTTTTGTATAAGATGATTTTTAACATTTGATGTTTACATCATACACTTTTGGTTATTTAGGACAAATCTACAGGAGCAAATTAAAACAAATATATATTACATTTAAGGGATGTTTTCCTTGTTTTCTGAAAGAAGACATGTTTGGGAAAATAAAATTCACCATGAATTAACAATGTTTTGTGTGTCGTGTGTCTCGCCTTAAAGGCCCAAAAATAGCTTCCTGAAAGATAAGCACCATAACTTCTCTCAGCTGACATACTGCTACTGCTTCGAGGAGGAAACAATGTGTAACTATAACTGAACTGTGTGATGAAAATACACATGTAAAAAAAAAGACACAGCAGGGTGAGATCACACAATTTGCTGTTGCATGCAAAGTTGCAGACAAGCACACAACTGCTCTCCCAGAAAGAGCTTACATCAGGCTGCCATCCGGTGTGGCCGGCCCTGGTGCACTGTTAGGATGATGAGATTCTGAGATTAGGGAGCAGAACTTGATTAATTACAGTCATCAAGAGGACAGTAAGCCGGATGTGGTAATTAGACCAACAGAGAAAGACAACAGGAGCAGAAGAAAAGCCCGTTTGACGATTGTCGGGGTTACCCCCGGTGTAAGCTGACATGTTGTCTATTTTGCATTCGCTGGATTCTTTCTCCAGCAGCTGCTTCTCTTTGCTGATGTGTCAAAAGATTCTGGCCACATAGCGGAAGCTTCCATATCCCTGAATAATAAAAAATGCTTTGCTCTACATTTCTCTTTCTGATCACAAGATCCTACATTCTAATGAAAGCATTGTAGAACATTGAGCAAATGGGACTTGCTGTTTGTTATAAAGCAACTCCAGAAACTTCCTTGGTGTTGATTCTGGCGGCCCCTGTGGACAAAACTCATGTTTTCATAGAAGAAAGGCTGCATTTCTCATGAGCGCCACCGCCTATAGTGTCTAGAGATCTTGACACAGTAATGTGTTCATTTGTGTAAAAAGTGAAAGAGGAACACAATTTCTTTTTAAAAGAAATGAATAAACCTTTGACTAAAGAACTAATACATTATTAGTTTTATGTCTCGCAAAGTATTTCATGATTCAAAGAATTTAGTATAGAAAGAAGACGACCAATTCAGGATCTGGTGAATTTTTTGGTTCTTAAGTCAATTTTCTCTCTTTTTAGTCTTGGTTAATCCTGGCCTATATTAATTATAACCACACAATTTAACATCAAAATCAAACATCTCTACGCCGCTGTTGTTTATTTTTTAAGAGAATAACAAACACATGGTGTTTGATCCTACCACAATTGATGATCATCATTTTGCAGTCCAATTCATGAAGAAAACAAGACACAATAATAAACATTGGTTATATAAACAACAAGAGAGAACAATAATAAATTAGGATGTGGCATAACCCACATTTAAAGGATACCGCAATAATTTAAATAAGGTTCAGTGATACAATTCAAACCAGATCTGTGCTTTTTGCTCATTATTGTGATTAATATACTTACATTCATTTGTAATACCTGTACATGCCGGTGTGTCTACATTATATCTAGTTCTCATTCTTATTACTTTGCAATTCAGAATGTAATCCCACCAGCCTTATAAAATGTTTTAACCAGAGGCAAATTGTTTATATTCAAAGAATAGGTCCTAGTTCGAATGAAGATAAAGTTCTTACCTGCATATATTTGTTATACTTACCTTGAGTGAGACTCTATAACAATTTCCCATTAGGATTTAAACAGAACTCTATCATTTATCGAACCAGTCTCCTTTCCTGCTATCTACCCTACTTAATATCCCAATTAAAATTAAAATAAATAAGGAATTGGAAGATGAAAAGATAAGTATGTAGTCTTCATGAAAAAAGGACAATATGGGAAGAAAAACGGACTCACTGACAACACAATACATTTACCGTGCTGCCTCATATACACCACCAAGTGTACAGGCTTTGGAGGTCAAAGTGTGTAGCTGGTTATATTATAATGAGATACAAATCTTCTGCTGTGGCTTCTGTTGAACAGACACTAAGGTGTGTGTGTGTCGTGTGGCCTGAACGGGTTTAAAGGCCAAAGACAGATAATGACTGTGCTGACAGAGGACATTTGGAGAGATGGTAACACAGGAGAGGGACAGGAAGAGGTTGAAACCTGTCTCCTGCTGTATTCAAATTAACAGATGACCATGTTCTGTATGCCATGTGGTGCCTAAATGAAAAGGTCAAAGAGGGTTTGACCCTGAGCCGTGCATGCTGTCTCACTACTGACCTCCTGTGGGGATTACTCAGCATCACAGCTGCTTTTTGGAAGAACTTTACAGACTTCCTATTGATCACATGCAGTCAGAGCAGCTTCCATTTATGACACATAACGAAGAAATACACAAGTCAGTGAGTCATATTGCATTTAAATGTAGTAAATAAAGATCCACACGCAGAATTTTCACAAAGGACTTAAAATTTATAAATATTCTTTCAACATTAAATCAGTAGGGATGTTATATAATTCTTCCAAAAAATCCAAGAGATCTTCAGAGAGCATGACAAAGTGACAATAATCTGATACACACATTGCTTCTCTACTCAAAAAATATCTAGACTTTTTACTGCGTATATCCCCCGTTTCTTCCAAATATATCAAAATATATGTTGACAATAAGCATCAATACAGACCACACAGAAAGCAGAATCTCATCGGTCGGTCGGGTGCTTTTGTTTTTTCGAGTGAACACACTTCCTGTGTGGCATCACTAAAGGTCACTCAGTGTTTGACCCCTGCCACTATGTACACCCTACGTGCACAGAAACCCCTCCCAAGTGCTGGCCCTGCCTTGTTGCCATGGCTGTGTCCATGCAAAGCTGCTAGAAAAGTCACATAAATAATAACATACAATCTAGTCCATGCTTTCTGCAAGGCTGGCCAACACTCGGGAGGATGACTCATGGAGACTTCCTTTTAATGAGCGTTCTTCATCTCCTTTTCTCCTGCATCACTCTTAGTAGCAAAAAGACAAGGATGCATTGACAGAAAACGAGGGAGGAAGCTGCTTTGGGAGGTGGCCATGAGACAGTTCTGCGCACACAGGGTTCCTGCCCTCTAGGGGACAAACACAGTCAATGCACATCTGGGAGAAAGGCAACGGTGGCCAGCTGATTTGGATGCTGGGAGAAGCTGTTCATCAAATCATCAAATTCACCTACTCATTTATTATATTCAGAGTCCTTCACTTCTTGTAAGATCACTGGAAAACCTTGTAGTTGTAATGACTTGAGTAAGGGACTGTGTGAAAATCATAAAGGTGCGGAGGAGAGAACAAACCTGCATGTTATTTTATAAAAAAAGCAACGTCCTCCAAATAAGTATTATTGTATTTTTTACCGCCACTTTAAAAGTGAAAATGTTTAAAGTCACCCATTAGAATCTTACAAATTATACATTTTTTGCAGAGATAAAAACGGGAAAACACAACCAGTCTATTGGTGCTAATACACTTTTTCAATCTAAAGTTACATCAAAAATAGAATTCTTGGGTGAGATCACCATCCCCTGCTCTCCTAACAGATATTGAGTCTTAAGAACTTAAGAACACTTATAAATACATAACGCGGCACAAGTAATTTTCATACAGTCCCTAATTCCCGACACTTCATGAAAACTCTCTACAATATTGTGCTAAATTTAGAGAAGGGAAACTGGTCTAGGTGTCAATCAGCACCCGAGGGATCTTCTACCTGGAGCCCAGAGGACGTACCGTCCTGTCTCAGGTGCACTGGCCCCGTCTCTCCCCTAATAGGACCAATCAATAAAGGCTCAGGTGACCATGTTGCCACGGCATTCTCCCAAACGTCACTTAAGGTCAGTCAGGTTAGGCAGGAGAGCTAGAAGTCGCCTCTTATCCAGAGATATAGGGTCAGATTTGACTTTTTAAGGATGAAAGGGGAATCAAATCTGTGACTCCACTTCAGCCAGGGTGTGCTTTGGTCTGGTCTCCACCCACTGACGACTAAATGACATAAACACAACATTTACATCTCTTTCAACAACCGTCACTCAACCACCTAATTTCTAAACTCATAAGTTACAAATAAACAGAACTAATTTCTATCCTGGAGCGCAAAGAAACAGGATATAGTTAATCAATTAGACACAGTATTTCCAAATAAGTTAAATTGAAATCTTAATATATTGTATTGTTAACTCCATTTAAATATCTCTTACTTTAAATATATTTATTACAGATCTTGCAAAAAAATACTACACTGTGCATTGGCTGTCTGCTCGTTTAAAGAGTGCCCGGTGCTTCCTGGATTCAGATATGTACACTTCATTAGAAATCGCCTGGAAGGGAGTTCCTCACTGCGTTCTATCGACAACCTCGGGTCATGTGACTTCATTCTCCTCTTCCATTTGGTCAAATCTCAATTAACGCTGTGATGACTTCAATTTGAACTGAATCAAAAATAATGCATATTCTTATCTTGTTTTTTTAAGCTCATTTTCTAAAAATAGTACATCTAAAAATATATTGCATATGCCATCTTAGGAAAATCGACATAATAAAATATTTTTAACAAGGAGAAATTGTAAAGTAGGAGAATATATATCACCTTTTTGAAGAATCTGGGCGTTAATAGAAATAAAAAAAGACCCAATCATGGGGATCTTTGTTGGGGTAAGAGGACTCGGTCTACTCGAATAGAGAAAAGATGGCTTTAGAGCGTTAGAAACGTTTTTACGGCTTATCCAATGTTGCAGAGCGGGGTGTAGGCAAGCAATCGGGTACTCTCTATGTCTATAAGGTACACACACTCTGACGCCACTCGCTTTCTGAGTGACAGTAAAACACTTGCAGGTTAAAAGGCAATGAATGAGTGGGGTGTGAAATCCTCCACGACTCAATTAAGTATCGAACACCCTCCCACGCATTCCCACCCCGCTTCAATCCAAATACACGTCTACTGCTGCTACGTTTGTCCACACAACGCGTCAGGCCTCCATCCAGATGCCTTTTTCAAATCTAAACCACATTAACAGTGTGAATACATACATATATATACTCTATATTTATATAAGTATGTCAGAGCTGATTGAAAAATCAAATGGAATGACTCTAGTAATATATATATATATATATATATATACTCATATATATACCGTATATCTTCCATGGGATTCAACAGGTTGTGCAACATGCTGACACGTTGGCCGATTCCTCTACGGGGGAAATTATAGAAATATACAGTTTGCACTGACAAAAAGCAGCCATGACATCTTTACTGTTTCCTTCTCTACCAAACACGCACACACGCACACACACGCACACACGCACACACGCACACATAAATAATACACTGTAGGTCCCCCCGCGGATATATTAGTAGCTGGAACAAAAAAGAAGAAGTTTGTTGTAATTAAGGAATGGATTAGTGCAATATAATAAAGGGAAGTGCTGACGAGAAGCGCGAGGGAGGGAGACGGGGACTCTGGCTTGTGTGACATCCTTTGGTTTATCTTCGGGGGGAGGAGGAAGAAAAATAATTGGTGTGGATGTAGAATTAGAGCATGTAGAAAAGACGTTTCCCAGATGTTTCAGGGCGCAACACGGGCAACCAGCAGAGGCAGGAGAAGTGTTTCTAACCGGTTAAGAGATGCACAAATTAGTCAGTTAATTGTCTAGCCGATTGACTGGAAATTAATCTGCAACTATTCTGATAATGTGAGTCATTTCATAAGCAGAAATGCCAAATATGGCCTGATTCTATTCAGTTCGTTTTTATGTGTTTGAACATCTTTGGGTGTAGAAGTCAACTCTGGCTGTTGGAAATTATTTCCTTTCACTATTTTGAGACATTTAATTGACAAAAGGGTTCATTAATAATAATTAAAAAAAATCATTGGCTGCAGCCCTAAGCCGGTGCATTTTGTCTACTGATCAGTTCATAGCTGTCATTCAGACAATCTTTTTCTTGGAATAGAAGTATATTTGTTCTTCCTTCTGTAGTTGCATGTGGAGACTAGCAGCATAACGCTATATCTGCAAGTCATAAGGCAAGTCACAGAGAAAAGCCAAGATGGAAAAATACAAGAAAAAACGATGAAGACGTCTCTATAAGCCTTTGCAGGACTCAGGAGCGTCCCGGTTCCTCAGTTAAGGTACAGTAACTCTTTCTATTGGGCAGTTAGTAGAACCTCTCTAGAACAAGGCTTCTTTAAAGGAGGACCATGGCTGAGATTCAAACATTTGTTTTAACTAATAAAATCAGTTTAGTGCCGTTTTGGGTGTCCTGACCAAAGCCTTGTTCTAGAGTTGAGTTTAGTAAGGAATAATCTCACAACCCCCTTCAGGTACAGTATTCTAGTTTATGCAGGGCCTCACTGGAGATGAAAATGTATCTGTGGCACACTGAAAGAGAGGGGCAGAGAGAGAGAGAGAGCTCCGCTTCCTCTAAAGCTGCTTGTTTGGTTTGATTGCCTGAAAGCCTCCTAAAAAAAAACATCACACACCCACATTTATCCATTTATCCACACTGACAAACACTCGGTCTCCCACTCTCTCTTTCACACACTAAGAAACACACAACTCAAATCGGGGAGAAATAAGACGACACTCTCCATTAGCTGCTCCTTCACCCCGGCTGGTTGAACACCGTTAACATTGAGCTGACAACGCAGGCTTGTGTTCTCCCGGAAGCACCTTAGCGCCGGACCATTCCTGAGCCGTTGGCTTACAAATGGAACAAACATGATTGTGGTGCTAAGATGCTTTGGGGGGAAACGCGGCGCTGACAGGAGCCCAGTTCAGCCTGGTGTTCTGCATTCCTGGCAGGCGAGGAGAGGGACGCACGCGAGCTTCCGTGTATCCCAGAGTGCTGTGGTAGCTGATGAATGAACATTCCTCGCTCTTTAGAAACCAGGAAGTGACGGTGCTCTGACAGAGACGGATTCTATCGCATTGTAACCCCTCTGTAGTCAACTAAAGGGATCTGTGCTTCATAATGTGTCAAACACGTTTTGCTTCTTCCCTCAAAAAACCCACCCTATCATCGCCCTTCCCTGTGGTCGTGAGCATCCCTAGCAGAAAAGACAGGGGTTTTCAGTCTTTCATCTACTCTTCCCCCCCCCCCCCGACCACTGCCTCTGTGCAGGAGGGGGGAGCTATGCTATGATTAATTGAAGCACCCCGTCTAACCCTCTACTGCAGGTTCTTCAGGATGCGTCCAAATCGGTAGTCGTACACGTGCCGGCAGAGATACACCAGCTCGGGGTCGACGTCTGTGGGCACACAGCGGTGGGAGGGGGGGGCGAAGTCGGCGCGGCAGGGCACCACGCTGGCACTGCCAGGTGGGGCGCCTTCGGCACGCCGCTTCACCAAGGCACAAAATCTGAAAATAAATCACCAAAGGTCATATTAAATCAAACACAAATCAAATGTATCATAGCGCTGCCATAGCTTTATTTAAGAATAACGATTTACTAAACCCAAAACAGATACGGCCTAGTGTTCCCTTCATTTATTAACAGTTGCAGTGTCAACCATGTGTGATAAGAAAAGTCAGAAAACAGGCTTACACATATCAAAGAAGGAGAAGTGTTAATTAAAAGGACCTTTTGAAAAGACTTTCTGCTATCTGCTGGGTTGTTTTCCTTTATGTGTGTGTGTGTGTGTGTGTGTGTGTGTGTGTGTGTGTGTGTGTGTGTGTGTGTGTGTGTGTGTGTGTGTGTACACTTACCTACAGTACTGGGCTAATGGGAGAACGTAGCATCTGTCTTCTATGCAGGCCACACTATTTTCATCCTGATGCCGAGAGGCGAAAATCTCATTCTGAAACCAACAGTGGGTGTACAATGTCACATCAACACAAGTGTCTCCTGTAGCGCAGGCTGAGGGCTGAAGAAATGACAACGCTCTTTAACTGTGAGCACAGAGGAGAGAGTAATTGTTCATGTACGATAAAACCGCTCCTGTGTTTCCACTCTACATGCCACCACCACATGAAAAAACCTGCTGTACTCCACACATGCTGGAGACATCCGTGTTGAATAGAAACACAAGCGGAGTTTCACTTTCTCATGGTGGAATTGCTCTCCTCTCTTTCTCTTTGTTTGTGCAGCACCGAGGTGGCAGAGATATCATCATTTGGCATTGTGGTTACACTGAGGTGCTACCCAACTTTCAACAGTTTCATGGCTGCTGAGGGGGAGATAATAATGTTTCCAGCAGCAGTTGCTCACCTCCTCCCGCACATTTGTTTTGCTAACTTATATTAAACAAACTTATCACAAATCATCTATTATAACGAAACCAATACATATGTTATGCAAGTATTTTCTCCCACAATCACATCATACAAAATGTAAGCCTATGTTGTGAAATGTGAACACAGCTGTTTCACTTTGAATTAATTAAATAATTGAATGTTATTTTTTTTCTAATTAAACAAATTTAGGAATTTTAACTGGTACAACTTTAAAAACTATTTTCACCCTCTGTCTGAAACCAGAGCCCAGTCTGCTCTGATTGGTTAACTAGCTGGCTCTGTAGTGATTTGGCAACAGCTAAGAGATGTCCCGCCCCTTAGCCTATCACGTACAATGTGTTGGAGCGCTAGCCAATAGAAGCGCAAGTGTTACATATTGATGTTATTAGAAGTAAACAGAGGTGTCCAATGGAGGCGTTTCAGGCAGGGGGCGGGAGGGATTTGAGCTTTCTCAGAACAGGGTAAGGGAAGGGAAAACCCCAAAATGCATAATAGGGCCTCTATAAATATTTTCTAAACAAATATATGATCACCAACAGCGTGTAATTATTAACCTGGTGTGTTCAGTATGGTGGGAGTAAATGGATACACTGTACAGCTAATGTCACTATGGTGGCTTTTCTGGAAAAACTATGGTGCTTAAAGTGATTAATAATAAAAACATCAATTTCAAGTATTCAAGAATTTGTGTTAATCTGAAACAATAAAATCAATTCTTACAATACCTTTCTCTCACACTGTCTCGCTCCTTTTTTGACTTGCTTTGTTTATTATTGAACATTCTGGGGCTCTATGATAGGACAGTACCAATTGTAAATAACTGTATGTTGACTAAACTAATGATATTAACATATGTTTTTTTACTTTTAGATTGGTGTGAATGTCAAATACTCATTACCCATTAAGTGGACACATCTTGAAATGTGTTTACCTCAGTTTATCTGTTTTTAAAAAGAGGACAAAGTATTTCCAATGTGCTGTTTCCGTTTTGCAAAACTGTCATTTGCCCGCTGGCCAACATTAAACGAAGCCTCACCTCACAGTGTGTGCTGGGATCTCGGCCTCCCTGTGTGTGCTCAGGTCGGTAGTACCAGAAAAGACTCATCATCAGCTCTCCTGAGGAGGCAAATAGCACACACACACACACACACACACACACGTAAACAAACATGGCCACATGTCCCTTGGTCAGTCCATCCACTATATCTATCTATGATCTCCCCCTCCGCGTCTCCCTTACCTGTTTTGGGGTCCTCCCACAGCGATGATATCTTGGCAACATATGGGAGTGATTTCTTCCTGGGGCCTGATCGTAGCAGCACAGTGTCTCTGACATGTATCACTTCACCGTCCCTCTCCACTCCTTCATAACACTGCCGCAGGGCTATCTCATCCTCTCCCTGAGACAGACACATTCACATGCACGCATACACACCCACAAGGACAGATATCATTCTCATTATAAAGACAAAAAGGAATCTGTCACACGAAGCTGTGTGGTCAAAACACAATTATCTTTACCACCTAGAGCTGATTTTTTTTTTTTGCCAGGCAGCTGCGAGGATGCTTTTCCTAGCAGGGTATTATCAGGAAGTGGAATAGGAGAGAAAAAGTCTCACTAGAGAGACAAACAGAATAACGCTCTCTTATATCTTGCTCATCTTCTCCACTAGAAGACACACTCAAAAATAACGTACCGCTATAAAGACTTCTCTCTCCGTGGGCATTCCCACAGGCCGCCAACCGTTGGTGGCACGTCTTCGGCTGACTCTCTTTTGTTTGGTGCTGCTGAAGCTTGGCAAGGTCGCCGGTTGTTTCTGGGGCAGCCGTGTGAGGCCGATGGACCGGGAGCCGTTGGAGGGCTTGTTGCTCTGTGGGCATTCAGGGGCCAGCTTTAACCTGGCCTGCGGCTTGTCTCGCCCTGACAGGGGGGTCAGCAGGTGGGGTTTGGTCTGAGTGGAAGTGGGCATGCTGGATAGAGGGCAGCTGGAGATGGGCATGGAAGGGGGAACCAGAAGGGAGGGGCTGTGGTCACCCTGAGGGGAGGAGTAACCCTCTGGAAAAGTAAAGAGTGAACGTTACAATTATACAGCAAGAAAGCAAAAGATCACATTTTCACTTAAAGCTAGACCATGTCACATTTACAAGACTAAACTAATCAGTTCAGTTCACTCGGGTGTTTTGTTACATACTTACTCGGTGATTTATCACCAGTATCTTAAATTAGCTAAAGTTAGCAAACTTTAAGTTGCAGTTGCATAAGTGCAAAGCATAATTTAAGTGGCAAATTGCATGGTTCCACCGTGAAACACATGTAAAACAACCTGCTTCCTTTATCTTATTTACAATTGTTACGGAAGGAATTACATATAAGCCAACAGCTCCTTATCAAGGAATATCTAAGTCAGGGCCTCAAGCAAAAGGACACTTTCAAAGCTAATAACAACAACAAAATCAAGAAGGTTCACACTTGTTGGGCCACACAACAAGCCTGAGGCAAGTTTTACAACAAAGGACTCTTTAGTTCTTTAATTTATACCATGATAGCATTGGGATATGGGGAAAGGTGCTTCAGATGTGATTGAAAAATGTAGTTGTTTAGACATTCTCAGTTCTAGTTGTTTAACATGATATTGACAATTTGCTTCATTCATCTGAAAGTGGAATCAGCTCAAATACGTAATCTATCTATTTTTTCCACTCACCTGTTTTGATGCTGTGTGTGCATTCAGTGCATCCTGTACTGAAAGAACATCCCCTGCTGGTGACGGGAGGCATGGCTCTGTAGGTGTAGCCACTGATCCCGCAGGCTTCACCATAGCAGGGCGAAGCCACCGAGTTGCAGTAGGCAGAGTGGGTCAGCCCCGAGCCGTGGGACACCTGCGGACCCAGCAGCTTGGAGCTATTCGTCCGATTAGGGCATAAACTGGAAGGGGGAAAGTTCAGAGGTCGCGGGGCCAGACCTGCTGACGATGTTCCAGTGTGTGTCGGGTGGGCGATGTGAACGTAGTAGCTAGAGAAGCAGTGGTCGGCGGTGCAGAGGCAGGAGTGTGGGCTGAGGGTCAGAGCTGTGTGTGGGTGGGAATGCGTCAGGGACGGTGAGGTTACGAGGCACTCGCGATTCACAGGGGTTATGGCTGAGTTAAGTGGCTGATCGTCTGATTCTCCGTAGGGCTGCTGGCCCAGGAAGAAGGCCAAGCGGTGGCAGTATTCCATTGAGCCCTCTGGCGGACAGCAGTAGTATGGGCTCATTTCGGTCTCCAGAGGCTCTTCCTTCACTTGCTTTAGCGGGTATGCTAGCATGCTGCGTGACTGGTACCCTGGTTTGGTCAGTCGATGGGTGCAGTTGCCGGTATCCCACTCCACTTTGGGCTCAAAGTCCGCCTTATTCTTGCAGGCTGCGCACCCACTGTGCAGGGCAGGGACCTTTTTCCCCTTCTGTTTTTGTGAGCATCCCTTGTGTTTGAGTTTGACCCTTGAGAGCTGTTTTGGGGTTTTGACCAAAGCAGAAGCCTTGCAGTCAGTTGTGATAGTAGCTGTGGGTGCAGCCTTTACTCTCTGTTTACTGGTAGCAGAGGAGCTGGTTAACTTTAGCAGGGCTGCAGCGTTAAGTCCAGCCAATCGTCTGGGGGCGGGGGCATCCAGACTCTCCAGGCTCATCCCCCCGCTCTCTGCTTGGTTGGCTTTGGCCTTCTGGACATGCTTAGAGCTTTGGCACAGTTCAAGTTTGGGCGTCGTTGAGGATTTAGTGATGGTTCCACGCATAGCCTTTATACCTCCAGGGACACCACTCCTGGTTGGATTTGCATCCAAGGCAGACCTTCCCTTTGTGGACTCTTCCTGTCTCCTGGCCAGTTTAGCTGCCACCTGAGCGTCAGTACCTCTTTCAAGCAGTAAACTGTTGACCGCCTCGGCGTTCAGGGAGGCCAGTCTGCGCTTGCGAGGTTCTGGGAAAAGAATCAACTCTCCATGACTAGGGCTTTTTGAATTTGATTTGGTTTTTGGTAATGACGTTGCCTCTTTTCTTTCACTGCTTTTCCCTTTTCTGGGTTTGGGATTGAGAGATGAATGTCGGCGTGAATCCTTTCGCGCGCTTTCTTTACAACTCTCCTGTTTGCGGATGCTTTCCTCCAATCGGGTAAGGAGGACATGACAGCTGAGCCCCTCCCCGTCTGAAGTCTCAGCCCTGCCTCGCAAAGGATACGACTTCCTGTCCCGTTTCTTGTCGCGCCTCCGGTCAAGTTTTCTGTTCTGATCAGATTTTTCTTTCTTCCCTGCCTTGTCATTCACACTCTTGACCTTAACTTTCTTCTGTTTGATGATCTCGCTTATCTTCTTTGTCCTCCCGAATCTAAGTGAGCGCTCAGTCCAGGTGTCGCCCATAGTGCCAACATGTGGCAAAGGAGGGCTGTTATCCCACCGCTCAGCACTACAGTCGCTCTGCCTGAGGGAACCCTTCTGCCTTGCGTGAGTCATCACATGCTTCTCCACGGGGCCTAGAGATAAAGAGACCGACAAGTGGTCAAAAATGTGTTTGTCCTAGTTTCACCGTGTGCTTACAACGTTTAAAATCAACCGAGCAAAAACCAGTGATCTATACAGTGGTTCAAGTTACTTAGAAACAAAGCTTTAATTAGATCCAGAGAGCTGGTTCAGCCCTTCACTTGTAGAACTTGTATAGCTTTTGTTTCTTCAAAATCACAGACAGTTAAGATCAGCAGGCAGCATTTTTCTGGCAGAGCAGGATTAATGGCCAGGGCAGACACTTAGGGAGTGGTAACAGGAAGGTATTATGGACCAAGAAGGGACCATTAATACAACTTCAAACCTTTTTTATTGTCTTGACTCGAAACGAGACAAAGCTTGATGGGACTGAAGTACAAAGAAAATGATAAAAGGCATGAAAACGAGCAGAACAAAGATATCGACTATTTGGCACAAGCACTCAGTTTGGATATAAACACCACAACATCCGATGCGATAATAAAAGTTTAACAATGAGACCAATGGTTTTGTGATCAGGCTGAATTGATTTGATCATATGGTGAGCTCTCAGCTTCTGAATGCCCGATTGTGATCCTCAAATTATAACGGGGTTTGTTTGTTTCATGTAGCAAAGAAGAAACTGATGCACTCTGTCATTCATTCACTGCTCTTGTTGCCTTATCACCTAGTGTGCACACAGAATACAAATAACAGCTTCTTGCAGCCAATTGTTTAGTCTGAAATGTTAAGAGTGATAGGAAAATGTCAAAAGGGCAAAACTACAATATGATGTTCAAATAGGAAAATAAGACAAAGCAAGCTAAGTCTACATTTGAACCAGGCAAAATTACAGTAGAAAATGTGTGTCTCAATGCATATATATTCATAGTTCGTATACATGATGAGAAAGGTAATATCATGCATACATCTCTGACACAACGTACTGTGAATACTCCCTGAGCACATTGTAAAATCCTTTAGCAATTAAACTCCATTAGCAACAAACAATAAGCTTGGGAGTATTCATGAAAAAAGACTCCCTGAGCTTGTTGTGAAATTGCAACAATAAACAACCGATGAATGACTCATGTATATGTTTAGGCAGGTGTTCCTTAGATAATGCACATATACAGACCATGACTTTACTTCGGTGCTCAGGGAAATGTTAATGCAGTGTATTTTTATACTGGAGCTCGAGTCATAAAGATGTATTGTCTGGTTAATAAGATGGGTAAACTTGAAAATATTTGCATTTGATAACAGTACACATGGTAGAATCTCCACCACAAATCTCCCTATAGAGAATACAATTAAGAATGTTCTGCCATCCAAGTTTCTGAACTGAATGGAGATTTTTTTCTAACTTAAAAGAGATTGTTTTTCGTACCCAATCCAATTATATAGTTACAACTGATCAATTAGGGTTGGGGTTATTTGATGTCAGGTGATATTTTCAAGAGATGTTTGCGGTTTTTTAGCTTAAAACTAGCTTGTATGCGTCTGCTGGTATGCGTTTGGAGGTTTGGTTCGGCCGAATTCTTCATAGTTATGATAAAAAACTCTGAGGTCTCCCTCCGAATAAACAATTTATCATTTTAATGGCAGTTTATCACCTGGAAAAGCAGTCATCCCAGGCCAGGGCTTCTGTTCGGACTAGCATGGCTGTGTGAGGCTCTGATGCTTGATGCAGATTCCTCTGTAATGTGAACTCATTCAGGACTTTGGCCAAACTGTTGGAGCCGACAAGATTTCTCAAACATGTTTGATTTCGTCTGACTGTGCTTGCGCAGTCTGCAGGAGGTTCAACATTTAAATGTCAGAAAGATCCAAGCCAATAGCCAATAAGAGTAACGCTCCAGGGTTAATGGACTACAACTCCCAAATCAGCATTTCCAAAAGGTATTTAAAACAAATTATTGCATTATATTCATCACTCCACAACTGAGAAAACACAAAAAGTTGTAATACCTTGAAACACATTATTTGGGTTTATGTTTATGAATGATAACATCAGTTAGTATGTGATCCGTCATCTCAGTGCATGTCTTTGCGTCTTTTTCCTATCACAGGAAGGCTAGTTTTGGGCTTTGCTTCTCTGAGAAGATGTAATCCGTTTTGCAGTGTGACCTTGCCTGCTGAGACTGAAATTGAATACCAGAATGACATACACATCCAACCTTAACTTCAGAAGTTCTCCATACTTATTCCAGAAAACCAATCCAGAATCTGACAAATGAAGGATTTAATTTACCTAAATAACAAAGTGTGTTTAAAGCAACTCTCCTTTCTGAACAACAACCTTGATAATTAGCTTTTATCAACATTTTTTAAACCCACAAAGATTATTTTCCAGCGGCAGTTGCGGGTCACTGCTGAGAAGTGTATGGGGGAACACTGGCGGGGATAACCTGTGAGATATTATCTCATGTGGCAGCGTTCTGGCTGAACAGCAATTTGGCTCTTTAAACAGTTAGGCCTGGTGATCCTCAGGAAGTAATCTCACAGTTACTGGAAGATCAATGACCCTGCGCTCTGTCTCTAATTGGTAAGAACATAGATCATCAGTTCCTTTCAGAGCATCAAACACCGGGCACACCAGGATACTTTTTTATGATAAGACCAGAATTCAGAAGAAAATGTGTGTAAAACAGCAACCCAGGGTAAGATCTATAGACTCCATTCATATTTTTGTACACTGAGAAACTCAAGGTACAAAGCAACCATCAAAACAAACTTCAAATATTTCAGTCCAACACAAGTTTCCTGCACTAGCTTCTAGATTCAACTATAAACATGCTTTAAATATTACAATATTTCCTTGAAAATAAATACAATCCAACACAGTAGACAGAGCACTATAATGTGAAAAATCTCACATTAAGGCCACCACTGAGGACCGAAATGTGTCCTAAATGTACAACAATACAGATGTGATAATGAGATCAAACTGCCATGCAATATAAAGCAATCTCTTCAAACACTAAACAGAATACCAAACACTCATTGAGTCAAATGGGAAATATTACATGGAAATAATAATTCCATGTTTAGGATCAATAAAGTACATCAAGATAAAAACATTAAGCAAAGTGGACCTGAAACTATATATTTTTGTGGTAAATATTAACAAACCGATTTCAGATTGACATTTTTTTTTTAATTAATGACTATTATAGGGTGTTGTATTCTCTCTATGTTATGGTGTGTCATAGCACAGCTACTCAAATGTAAAGCAGGTTAAAAACTATTTATAAATGTATACAAAATTAATAAATACATGTTCATTTGTGATTATTTACCCCAACCTCCCCTTTTTCTGCCCCCCAAGCCCAGTTTTTTTTTTTTACAACCCTTAAATTGTAGATTGCTCTTGTACTACACTTGTATAACATTTCTCAAATCAGGGATATGTGACTTCGTGGAAAAATTGAAAACTCAAGTTCGATTTATTTCTATACGTTATGTTAAGATGCCAAAAAATAAAAGCTATGGCTTCATTGTAAGGTGTCCACTACATTATTCAACCATTAAGCCACATGCATTACACCATGCATAAACAACTCCAACTGCTCTCTGAACAGAAACGACTACTGTCTGTACATGCTGCGATCTTTACCAACTCACCATCAGCCAATATTACACCTGCAATTAACACCCCAACTTTGAAGACCGAGCCAGAACACACATCACAGATAAATAACCAGCCATTGGGGAACGGATTGAGAAAGCTCTTATTGTATATGTCCCATGTCCCCAACAGCTAGCAGCTACGAGGTTCTGGCATGTTGAATTTATCAAGAAGAGACAAGAATTTCAAACATTAGGTCACTGTCTGGTGTTTTCCAAAAGACTTGCATCGCAGCCTTGGGCTTGATCCATGCATCGGCTGAGATGTCGAGGGAGATTTCAAACATACATACCTGCATACATTTAACATGCGTAAACATATACATACAGACACCGTGGAATACAGTAGGATGATACAGTACAGCTTGACGTAGCTTGCCCATCTGAAGTAGCCAGCCAGGCTCTAAATATGGGCTGGAGAGGGGAGGAGGGGGGGGCTACCCGAATACACACACATACACACACCAAGCAAAAATAAAGGGCACTCTTGATCACATTTTTCTAACCGGATTCCTCATTACCGACACCGTGGCTATTCTGGTCCCGGTCCTGGTGGAGACCTGGGGAGGATATGGCACGTAGCAACAGCCCCGTGTATCGCTTCTGGTGCACGAAGCGAAAAATGGGTTCTGCGCTCCTTCTCTGGACGGCTGGGCAGTCGGAACAACTTCAAACATTCAGGGCGAAATAGCAACATCAAAAATAACCGAGCTGCTAACTTACGGCTCGCCGACACGCTTCCTCCTGGCAGCCGGGAAACCGTCGAACAAATCTGCGGGTACCGAGGAGGGGGAGGAAGCCGCCGGACTGGTGCGATGGCAGAGCTCCGTAACTGGGAGAGCTGGGGAGGAGTGGAGAGAGGACGGTCGGTGGCGCTGCCTGCGAGATGTGTGTGTGTGTGTGTTGTGTGTCGTGTGTGTGTGTGTGTGTGTGTGTGTGTGTGTGTGTGTGTGTGTGTGTGTGTGTGTGTGTGTGTGTGTATGTATGTGTGTGTGTGTGTGTGTGCTCGTGTGTGTGTGTGCTCGTGTGTGTGTGTGTGTGTGCTCTTCCTGGTTGGGCTTCCACCGATTTGCACAGAAAAACTTCCTCTGAACCAATTGCCGGCCTGGTTTGACACCCCCGTCCTCCAATGACGGACACACAGCTGTTTATTGGACAAACTACACCTTTAATGTCCGACGGAACTTGTCTTCCACTACGTTAAAAACGCGGCGCGGTCTCATAACGGCCGATGGATGTTACTGCCCCCCCACCACGACGACACACAGCCTCACCCTGTCATTTGTCGTGACCAGACCACACCACGACCAGTGAACCACCAGACTGTTTAAACACGTCTGGAGAAATGCATATGAAGCAGGAAGGCATTTCACATGACATCCAC